AACTTAGGTTTTGGAAAAGCGATGAAAAATGTCAAGAGAAAATCCACGGGCAGTTAAAATAACAGAAGCTCTGCTTCTTTTTTTGGTTTTGGTTGCCCGGCCATTGCGGTCGTGGAAAACATAGGATTGCACCGTCTTCTCAGCATACTCGAGCTGCGATATGAAATTCCCAACCGCCCACACATCAGGGAGATAATGGTGCCAAAACTTTCTGAAGAGGTAAAGACAAGCAGTGTGTGCGATGTCAGTCCTTGGTTTAACGGCACAGTGGACTGATGATCCACGGGCAGATGGGGAGTTCGTTCGTCAATGCCAAATACTTTCGTTATTTTGTTTGTTTGTTTACAGTATGGACACTCGCGCTCTGTGTGTGTGTGTGTGGTAGAAGTATCGGTTTCTGTACTCTGTATCGGCAAGTACTCAGATCCAAGTATCGGTATCGTATCGGTTTGAAAAAATTGGTATCGTTGCATCCCTACTAATGATTAAATGTGAGTTTGGTGTGTAAATGTGCGAAGATAGAGGGAAGAAACTGATTTTGAGGTTTCTTCTGAAACTCAGCTGCTCCCTCCCTGAGCCTGGTTCTGCTGGAGGTTTCTTCCTGTTAGGGAGTTTTTCCTCTCCACTGTCGAAACATGCTCGCTCGTGGGGATTGTCAGATTCAGATTTTCTTTCTAATATTGTAGGTCTTTATTCTACAGTATTTATTTAAATAAAATCAATTCTAACATTAATATATAGAGGTGTATTACAATTTATGCCAAAAACATAAAGATGTATCATATCTCCAGTTGCCCCAGTCTGTACTGGGAGTTTTCAGCCTCGATGTGTCAAAAATATCATCAGCTAATTGAACCTTGCACTCAAACTTAATTAAACTTAATCTTTCTATCAGTTTTCTGTTGGTCAGCTACAGAAATGGGACAGCAGAACATCATATAGACATTTTGAATGTGGCATTTACTGTGTCAGTAATTCTGTAGAAGTCGACAAAGAGGAGAGATCGTAGTCTGTCTAACATGTAACTTGCCTCTTCAATGCATTGGTGGAACTTTAAAACATTGCAGACTTTCTGTACAGTTTGTATGTGCACTGAAGGCTCTCATGTCAATCAACGCCATGCTTTGCTCTCATTGGCTCCCCTGGAAGTTCTGCCTCTTCCCTTCGAGCACAGTTGTTTCACACGTAGTTGCTCAAAGTCGCTGCATGTTATTCACTTTCCGCAGCTTCTGATCATCAATATGAGTTGCTTGACAGTCTGAAGCTCCGAGATCAGTGAGGGAGGTTAACTTCTTTTGGTTATAAAGGTAGCAGAAGTGAGTTATACATAATAACCTGTTAAGCCTCCAGCGGTTTCCTGATCTCCACCATCTCCTCCCTCTTGCACCCATCTTTGGGTGCTTAAGAGATTAACAGAAGTTGCAATGATTTCTTGCTGGGGCTGTGAGGTCACATTGTGTTTGACTGCCCAACAACCTCAGCTCAACATGAATTAAAAGTCTAGTTGTGTGAGCACTGTGTAAACTGACATCTGTAATACCTTAGCAATAACACTGATAACAGAAATAATAATGCACCATTTGGAAGAGCCAGGTCTTAGATAGCTGAAGCCCCCTGTGCTGCTGCTGAATCGTTTTGTTCTTTAATTGTATTTCATGAGTGTTTAAGAAGAAAAGATGTCTGCCATTCTTTTCTTCTTCTTCCTCTGGTCCATTTATCTGAGGACAGGGCTATTATTCTCTATTAGAAAGATTTCTGTCTGTGGAAAACAGCTCACACAAATACAGCTCACAGATAGTGCCTCGCCTGTCACCTCTGTTCATTTTAGATAAAAGCCATTGTATTAATAATGTGTTGTATTATCCTGCCTTGTCGCTGCTCCCTCTTTGAAGACAGTCATTGTTGGAGTTGTTAGTCATCCAGATTTCGCTACCAGTTTGAAATGCAAGCAACATTATTCTGCTCTGTGAAATTATTAGACATGACCTATTTAAATTAGAACAAATATTTTGTTCCATTAGGAGCTGTTTGTTAGATTCATTGTTGTGCTTAATGCTAACGAGGGCATCAGTCCTTGAATGTTTGTTTATTTTAAAGGATTGCTGCAGCGTTGCGCTCTTGGAAAGTTGCTGGAGGTACAGTTTCATTGTTTTAGAACTTGTCACGTGATCATAAACTTTCTAAGACCCACCTGGCTGCTTTACTCTGCTGCCTTGCTCATTTTTACAGTGAGTCGTGTCCCGTCGAGGTGTTGTGTGTTTATTGAGCAGCTGTTTGGTTTCTCCAGTTCATACACTATGTTGCTTCGTTTGTGTTTGGGAGTTCTGTCCTTGGGATGAAAGAGTTCATTTACAGTCAGTGTTGTGAAGGTTACTTTTAAAATGTATTCCA